TCAAGAGAGTTAAATTCCTGTTTTGTACTAGATAGAAAAGAGTTGGTCCAAACAGAGAGTCATGCATCAGGAAAGTGGCCACATTTGCCTTAGAGGATTTTCTGATGTTCAGATTACATCTTTATAACGCTTCAATGTTAAGTGCATCTCTCTTGAGTACATTCCAGTCTACAGCACCAATACATATCCCTATGCAGCTCTTCTGAAGTACCTGTTGAGGAATGTTACGAAAGTTAGCATGTGGGCCTCTGTTAACTTTCTAGGCATCTAAACAGTACTTTGCAAGATGCTGAGGGCTGGTTTAGGGTTCTTTATTGATTCTTAATATTTCTGATGTTTCAATCTTTTAAAATTGTTGATGGAGGACAACAGTTCAGCTCGGTGGTCAGGTGCTTACCTGTGTTGGAGGAGGCTCTGGATTTTACACAAGCACTGACACACACACACACACACACGGGGGGGGGGGGAGTTTTCCAACGGTTTTTGTTTAAATGTGTTACATCTGCTAGTATATATGGCACTAGAAGTTAAAACTAAATTTCTAAAACTGGAAATACTCATTTTAAACTCTATGAAAAATGTACCCCCAGTTAAATGAGAATTAGCATTATTTTTATTTGGGGGATCTCTAATATGATAATAAATGAGCTATATTCTCATTTCTCCTTCTCCATGGAGTCCTTAAGTCAGACATGTGAGCAATGAAAGTGAAAAGGGCAAGGAAAACTTTAGTGATGCTGTGAACAAGTTCTAGCTGGATACCTCCTTGAAAGGAGCCTAAACACTGTCCCTGACCACACTGTTGGAAATGTCTCATTTAGGTGATATTTGATATACAAAATGTGCTCAGGAATTCTTAGGCTTTCTTATACTCGAGTCACCTGACTGTATATACTCTCAAAACTGTGTGCTAACTGAGCTAGATGAAGGAATGTGTGGTTATCTACTCCCTTTGGATACTTAGACTCCCATAATCTCACTGTGTCTTTGGTCTAACATGAAACTCAGAAAATGTCATTACGTGACCATATCTCAGAAGTATTTCTTGATTACACTGAATTATGTGAAAAGTTCAATTTTCGCCTAAAGATAATTGTACTTCTGACTTCTTTCCCCCTTGTTTTCCCAGATTTACCTTGTTTTGGCTAGGGATGAGGATATGAGCAAAACAGAAATGTAGATGAGATTCTGAAATTATTCCTCATCATTCTTTATTTGGAGTTATATTTGATTATGGGTTGTTTTTATTTAGTGTTTTGGGGATTTTGAGAACCTTCTAGATCACACATGCAATTGTGTATCTCTTTTAAAAGAGGATAAGTTTTAAGAAATACATTAGACACTTTTGTTCTTGTGCAAATATCATTGTACATGTAACCCAGACCTAGATGCACCGCTTGCTGTATTCTGGTGTGTGTGCATTGTGACTGGCACTGCTTTCTACTGTGTATTTCCTCCCCACAGACACCGAGTAACTGACATGACAGGAGTGATGTCAGTAGCTAATAGACATGCTCCATTATAATCTTGAGGTCACCTTGTATGTGCAGACTCTCAGTGACCTAGACATGTTTGTGCAAAACAGCACACACAAAGAGAATGGTTTGAAGTTAAAGGTAAAACTTTGCTAATACTTTTTGATTGTACAGAATAGTGTTCTCTTTTCCTTTATGAGCACCACCCGGAAGTCAACGGCTAGGGAGTTCCTGCAGCTGTGGTTGGCCCAAAGTGTCTTCTGGACCTTTGTCCTCCCAGGTTTCCAGTCTTCCTTTCCTCTTTTCTTGTCATCTTTGTTTTTTTGTTCCTTATAGCCTATTTTTTCAGTAGCTCCCGAGGAAACTGCCTGGATTGGTTGGCTTGCCAACCATTTCTTGAATGTTAGCAGTGTGATTCAGTCATGGACTAAAGCTCTCAGTGCAGCAACTGACAGAGAAGGAGAGCCAGCCAAGATTCACACTGTCTAGAAACTGTTCTGGCTCTTAAGTCAAAATTGAGTACTTGGTGATTCTCCAATTTCCCCCAGAAGTTACATCCATTGAAACACTTTTTTTTTTCTTTCTTTAATGAAGCATAACCTGTCACATGCACTGTATTTCCTTCAGGTGTGTGTCTTACGTCCCACACGCATTGGCAGTTATAGTGGCACCCTTTAAGACAGGGCCTCACTAGTTATTTCTCCCATTTATCTACAAGTAGTTTTGAGGTGGCTGTGTGACTTGCTGATTTTTGTGCATTGCTGTTGTGTTTTTGACATATATATATATGTATATATGTATATGTGTATATATATA